ACTAAAGACTAAAGAGAGAAAGACATGGCCGAGCAGTGAGCATAGCCTGTGAAAGGGGAGGAAAGAGAGAAGAAGGAGTGGTGAGTGAAGGTGGAGAGGTGGGGGAAGGAGAGGTGGTGAAGGATGAAGTGGGATCCATGAGCGCCTACACGGGTCCGTTGATTTAACATGAAACACATACAGGGAGCAAAAAACGGTGACTACAAAATGATCCAATAATGGTACAGAGATTGAAAGTGACAATATGCACGCAGAGACAGACAGTGCCTATTTACAGTGGAAGCGGCACAAAACATATTATAGGGTTAACACACGGAAATTGGCAGGTATTTGCCAGTACCCCCTAGAAAGTAATTACAGGACAGACCAAGACCAACCCAAGTTGGCGGGTTACCGTGCATGAGTACCGGCAAGAAGACCCGTTACAGCCTTAACTAGATAACTTACAAGGTAACTATTAACAAGCCCAATATACAAAAGAATTAATATCGCGGTATACAGGGTTGAGCCTAACATAGGCTAAACAGTAAACAGGAATAATAAAACTAAAATACATTATTACAAATAAACACAATAAATGAGAAAATACAACTAATATATACATTTACATATACCTGCTCCAGATGGCTGTTTACATTGCCGTAAACAGCCATAGGAGCCCCTCTTCCAGTAGAGGATGGCACAGACACAGAAGACTCAGTTGAAGATTTTAATGTTCTTGATGAACTTGATTAGCGCCTCATAAAGTTTCTTGTTGCTAATCAGGCAATCAAAAGTACAGGGCCATGCGATGTTTTCTTCCAAAGCGGCTGAAATTATAGTTTTCCTTTCCTTGTTGTATAGCTGACAGTAGCACAGGATATGCTCGCTGTCCTCCCAGGAGGCAAGGGGGCAGGGACAAAGCCCGTCTCCCTTGTTGAGGAAGCGGGCCAGGTAGCTCCTCAGGTTGCCGTGACCGGTGATAAGCTGTGTGAGTTCGTAGTTAGGGATGAAGTGGTGATATTTCTTCCTGTCAGTGATTGAGGGAAGGAATCTGTGTACCGTCCTTCCGGTGTTACTGTTGTTCCACTGGAATTGCCAGCGGCCAATGAAGTAAGTGTGCAGATTCTTTCTGACCCAGCTTAAGGGGATCTTGTCATACGTACTGTCTTTGAGATTGGTGATTGCTTTTCTAGCTAGCAAGTCCGCCTGCTCATTGCCCTTGATACCAGAGTGGCCCCTTATCCACTTAAGAATAATTGGGGTCCGAAGGGTATCTAAGACACACAGAATATTTTTAATTATTGGAAGTTTGGTATTACCTTTACTAATTTGGTGTAATGCTACTCTGCTATCAGTGTTTATAATGATTTCACTTCCTTTAAGCTTCCCACTATTGTTGGTGACACATTCAATGGCTTTCCAAATGGCAAGAGATTCGGCTTGATTTTTCGAAGAATAATTTGCCAGCCTGAAATATTTCTGGTAGGTGGTCTTTCCCGTTGTCGTGTGAATTACAATAGCACCCTTCGTACCATCGTCCGTGTGGGAACCGTCCGTATAAATATTGATACTGTTGCTTGTTTGATTGTAGTTGTCGAGGGAGATTTCATAGTTTTTATTCGTTGCGGGATGTAGGTTTAATGGTGTCGTGATATCCAGCCCCTTTTCCATGATAAGGGTTGACAGATTAGGAATGACATCTCCTACCACAAAAGGAGCTACCTTTTTGTCGCAGTCTTCTTTAGTGATTTTCTTTTCGTCTAACTTCCTCATATTATAAGAAATATACCTTTCTGCTATAAGCAGGTCCACCGGCATCAGGTTTGCTATCGCCAGGAGCCCGTCAGTCAAGGCCGTCCTATACGCCCTTGCCACATAGATGGCCGCTAGCCTCTGAATTAATAACAATTTACGCTTAATATGAGCGTTTGACACCCTGTATCCCCAAACTTTACAACCGTAGGTGATAATCTGTTGGGTTACCGCCACATAGGTGGCCCTCCTGGCCTTGTAGCTCAGACCCCATTTATTACGGGCGACAGAGGCCATGACAGATGATAGAGGTCATGGCACATGAGACCTTTGTTGCTTTGCCATAAATACTGTATATGTGCTCCTTCCATAGCAACTTCTGGTCCAGGATAATATAAGGCTATAAGCTGTAAAGCTCTATAGGTTTTCAAGGTTGCTAGCATTCTCCGAGGGTTAGTTGAATTCTCTGGAGTGTTTATAAACGTCGGGGTTCATTTAGATGACTGAAAAAATAATCCTTTATTATATTGAAAAATATAATAAAAATACACACATTGTATTCTAACAATAAATGATATTTCTTTAAATTTTAGCAAAATAAAATACAGTAGAGCCTCGATTATCCGACCCCCGATCAACCGACCCCTCGGTTAACCGCCCGTCCTAGTCGGCTAATTTCAAATGTCTGCTAGTGATGTGGCGCTACAATATTTGGCTATGTCTTGGCTACTTTAATATTATTTTTACGTGTTTTAGCTGGCAACACTCATTCGACCATGAAAGGGAGCCAGTATTTAAACGAAGCTTAATTTTCTAATTTTTAACGATACAATAGCGACGATTATTATTTTAAAAAATTTTTGTTAGGCTTAACATCGATGAAAATTTCAACGCGAAGTAGGTTAATTAATTAAAAGTAATATACTAATATACTAATTACATGGGATATAATAATATACTACACTAATAATGGATTTTTTCATACTTTTCGGTTATCCGACTTTTCAATTATCCGACCAACCCCAGTCCCCAATTAGGTCGGATAATCGAGGTTCTACTGTAAATCAAAATTCAGCGTTGTGTACGTTTTCTGATTTTTGAATGAAAAAAGAAACATCATATTATTGATTTTTTCATATTATTTTTTCATATTTTTCAAACATATTATTGAATTAATAAAGAATTTTATTAATTCTTATTTGATGTTTTCTTTCATCATATTTGTAATTTAAATAAGGATATTTATGTTTAAAGTCGCACTTCATAAATTATTATTAATTATTTTCACAACCGGATACACAAAATTCAATGTAAAATAAAATATCATAACCTCTGCTGACGGGTATGCTATACGCAACGAGATTTTTCCATCAGTGTTCATGTGTATCTCTACAAAAGAGCTTCCGTAGTGACTGTGATGGAGACACAGGTAATTAAGGCATATAGATTATGATCAGAGGCTATAAAAATCCATGATATTCGTATATATCAATATTATAAAATTATAACCAACGCTTATTACTATTTACAGGATATTTTTGGAAGCCAAGAGTCCTAAACATCGTTTCGTCCACTAGTTAAATTCGCACTAGAAGAATCGTATATGTTCCCGCTTTGTTGTTTTACACTTAAGCGTTTCTAGCTATGACAATTCGTTTGTTTTTTGATTTATCTATAAAGTTAATACACCACCTGAGTTACTAATACGAAAATCTTCTCAGTATGGTCCATATTAGGACCATTCAGCTATTATTTTACATATTCGAAGGGCTTATATTGTTCTATACCGTGTGACTTACAACACGAACTTCGTAGCCGTAATAGAGTGTTTATTAATAGTGGCTTTACTGTAAATTTTATTATTTAGATAACAAAGTTATAAAGTTTTTATTATTGTAAACTGAGCTCCTCAATTTGCATTCATAAGCAAGATTTGCGCTTGTATCTCTTTTATTTGTGGTCACATTTACGTATTGTTTGGCTAGAATGTACTGTACTTTTCCATTAATTAAAATTACCGGTTTTCTCATCTCATCATCATGAAAGTTATTTTTTAATGCTAGATATACGTGGCAATAATAAGAAAAGTTGGTGTTTATAGTATAATTCTCAGCAAAGGAGACTATGATATTTTACATTAGAGCCCTGACTAGACCCATATCTAAACATATAAGCGAACACAAAAGGGCAGAGCAGAAAGGTTAAAATAGGCTATAAAGAGCTTTAAAAGCAGAAACCTTCAGTAACTATTAATCTTGGTAGAGTAACTCCCGGTTGGAACAATGTAAAAGTAATACATAACTTACACCTTCCAACCCAATCACTATTTATATCAGAAATATAATAGGGCATCAGCCAAATTGCAGATATTTGAAATTATTTATGTTAATTCTTTTTCTGTATAATTTTTAAATTAATACAATCATTAACTTATATAACTACTTTTTTTTAATTTAAAATTTTAAAAAAACTGTTGTATGTACAGTACAGTACAGTAGATTAGGGGAAACCGGGGTTAGTTGTGACAGTTTTTAATTAAAATTTTTTTATGAAAATTTGACTTAACATAGAAATCTTTAAGTCCGCCGACAGGTTAAGCATTCTCTTAGCTATATATTCCACATTTTTGTACTTTTCTTTGAATTTATTAATATTCTGAAATATTTAGTTTTCAGAAGAGTGCGCCTTTGTAACAATGTACCCCTTAGTAAGGCAAGTTGTTACATTTACTTTTTTCAGACGAACAAAACAGATTAATTGAAAATGTGAAAGTATACATAATGTAAAGTTTAAGGAATATTTATTTAAACAAATTTCACAATGAAACTCAGTTATACATATATATCTATATAATAAGAGAAAAAGTTATTGCATCAATTCAGAACATATTTCTTAAAACAAAATGTGCTTTTACAAAGCATAATGGTTTTATTAATCAGAGTCCATTGATATATCAGAAACAGTAAATACAAACATTGTTGTTACAATATAACAACATGCCCCAATCGTTTTGTAACAACTTGCTTCGATCCCGCCATTTTGAATACATGGCGAAATACTCTTGAGCGTTTTAAGATATTTATGCAATTACAACAAAATATTACACTATCCTATACTATTAATAAAGATGTTAAACATTGGAAACTTACCACGCGGTTCTGTATTTAAAAGTAGATAGGAATCACAATACGAAAAGAATTGCTTTTAGCTTGAAAAATAATGCAAATAAAGATATGACAACTCTAACAGCTTATCCTACTTCTAAATTTCACGTAGTGTTACACTGACGTGTCAATTACTATGTTAATTGTCAAGTTCTACCTCTTGCAGGTGCTCAGAAAACTTAATGTAGCAACTAATCCCAGTCTCCCCTATTTGTAATTAAAATTTCATTGTTCTTTCTAAACATTCTGAAGTATCTTGAATAAAACAAGCGAAAGCGCTTAATTAAATATTTTACTTTCAATTTTATGTATCGTCGGTNGCAATAAAATAATTTAAAAATAATTTTTAACGATACAATAGCTACGATTATTATTCAAAAATAAAATTTGTTAGGTTTAACATCGATGAAAATTCAACGCAAAGTTGGTTAATAGCGATATACTAATATACTAATTACATGGGCTATACTAATATACTATACTAATAATGTATTTTTTCATTCTTTTCGGTTATCCGATTTTTCAGTTATCTGACCAACCCGAGTCCCCAATTGAGTCGGATAATCGATGCTCTACTGTACTGTATTAGATGTAATAAAGACAGACATTTTTCTAGTTCGACGAGAGTGACTGAAAAGTTGGAAATTTTGGAAATTTCCGTGGACAACTCCTGGTCCTAAAACGAATTAGTTAGAAAACAAACGACGGACAATCTATTAAGTTTAACATATTTAGACTTTTACAGCTATGGTGAGAAACGTTTAAAATTTACAAGAACCCTGTCGCGTCTTTTGAGATATATTAGTGATGCGACAAAAGAAGCATTTGACGTTAACCGGTATCGGCATCCTCGGAATTTGTCATGCATGCACGCACAGCACACCAACCAAGATCGTCTCTGATTCCATCCATGAGCCACTGCTAGGGAGCACTTTTAACTAAGTGGATTGTTTTAATAGTTAAAAAGTAAAGAATATCTTATGCTATTTTTATGTACGTTTCTTAACAAAACTATATTCATACAATCGAATATTTTGTACCAGATATGTATAATTGTATATCGATCATACATTTTATTTTAAGAAGTAAGTTTTTATAATTTTATTTTTAATTTTAGCCCTTATATTATAGCTAGCAATTTAGAATGTAATTGTGATATTGAAAATTTATTTCAAAAAGTTTTCGCTCGAGATCTTATAATGAAAAAGAAAACATTATTAAAGAAGAAAGATTAATGACTAAATTAAATATAAATACGTCGACGAAAAAATTTGTTTGACATTTTCATGATAAAATTTATGAAGATATAAAATGGCTTTGTGGATGCATAAAAATGCAAAAATTGTTTTGTCGGCCTTGCCTACTACAGTAGATTATTACAGCAACGATTATCCGACCCCCGATTAACCGACACCTCGGTTAACCGACCGTCCTAGTCAGCAAATTTTAAATGTCCGCTAGTGATGTGGCGCTACAATATTTGGCTATGTCTTGGCTACTTTAATATTATTTTTACGTGTTTTAGCTGGCAACACTCATTCGACCATGAACGGGAGCCAGTATTTAAACGAGGCTTAATTTTTTAATTTTTAATGATACAATAGCGACGATTATTATTTTTAAAATTTTTGTTAGGCTTAACATCGATGAAAATTCAACGCGAAGTAGGTTAATAGCGATATACCAATATACTAATATACTAATTACATGGGATATAATAATATACTACACTAATAATGGATTTTTTCATACTTTTCGGTTATCCGACTTTTCAATTATCCGACCAACCCCAGTCCCCAATTGAGTCGGATAATCGAGGCTCTACTGTATTTTCAAATAAAATTAGTGTGTGGAATGAGATTGGCTTTGACGATTTAAATAATTTGAGTAAAGCTCGCCAAAGACACGAAAAGCGTAATTTTCCATCGACTCTTTCGTAAAGTTGAAACAATTTAAAAATTAAAATAGAATAGAATTTAACATTAGTACACAATATAAAATAAATATTGAAAATTATAACAAGATAGTTACGGCTAATAGATATACAGTAGAACCTGCATTATCCGGACCTCCATTATCCGTATTGTTCAAAATAAACAAAAATTTTACGAATTTGCTGATTTGCACTTCGCG